ACTACAACGAGGAAACAAACCTCCCTTCAAGTGTATAAAAACACTTAAACACTCAAGAACAAGACTCTCTTATAGAGTAGATATGAGTAAGCAAATGAATGCTCAAGAATACGACAATTTCTTTAAGAATTGGCTCTTAAAAAAGCTATGAAATATGAAAGATAAGAATGCAATGAGGGAGTATTGATAGTTGAACAATTGTGTGTAAAATGAGAGGTTTTTGATGCCATTTTATAGGCTAAAAGGAAGTGTAATCATTGCATAAACTCCCAACATGATCAGGACAAATCTTACTATATACAATGGTAAGAGGGATTTGTGAACAGTGTTCCCTCCATTTTCTACACCTCCTTTTGGGCCGGATTTTGGCCTACTGTTCATGGGCCGAGATTCTTCCTATTTAGCGGGCCTGCAGTTGACAGCTACTTTATCGGGCTGTGGTTGACAGCTACTTTATCGGTCTGGGGTTGACAGCTACTACCTGTAGTGCGTTGCTCCATAAATTTGCTTTATCTCTATTCAATTTTAATGGTTCCATAAAGTTGTATTGGGAAAAAAAATTGTGTGGCTCAATAAAGTAAATTTGGAAAAAAGTAACTTTATGTCAAATCGATCCATTGTAAAGATTTTTAAAATCTAGCCATTTAATGAATGGTTAAAGAGATCATGAAAAATGTAATATATATACTCGAGCATAGTGATGTGAACTTCATTCCCAAAAAATAAACTTCTCAAGTAGCCTAAAAAACATCAAATGTCTCAAATTTCTTCTTTAAGCATGGGGTCTTATGCCGAGCTTGACAACACTCGAACCAATTGGATGTTCAAGTTACGGGCCATGCGTGTCTATTTTGTTTCCGTTTGGACCAAAGGCGGAGATTCAATGGTGATCATTTCTCACGATGAACATGTATGATATTCACAATTTTTTTACGCTTAATTGTTATTTATTTATTAATTTCTTCTAACCTATATGTGTGTGTGTGTCCACGAAATCTAGAGGCAAATATGCAGTTAAATATGTATTTTATATACATGTTTTTAATATATATATATATATATATATATATATATATACACACACACACACACATACACGCACCCACAAAAATATATTACGGAGTAATATACAATATTGGCTCAGATTTTTTAAATCCGGTGTTAAGTTTGAGGCAAAATAAGAAACGAAATCGCCATGGCTGCAACAACGGGGATTAATTCCGTGACGCCACGCCAAGATACGTTCATTTTCTTCGATGCCTCAAACATTAAAAGCCTAAAAATCATAGTAACTTATTTCAGTCCTTCCAGATCATCACAACCCTATATTCATACACACACACACACACACAAAATTGATATGTTTGAGGCCATATCATCACAGTACTACTTTTCACAATCCTTTCATCTCATCACAGCCCTATAATGGGAATAATTATCATACATATATATCACATACATATATGTGACAAATATAATAACGAATTTTTTTACGGTGCAACACACAGGTACGAATTTTTTTTTGAGCTATTGCTTATTAGATATTTGCATCTCCTTCCCTAAGTTTTTATCCTGATTTGACTTTTTTGGTCAATTATCTTCAATTTTTGACATATAATTAAATAAAATATAAATTACATATTAATTAGATAAATCTGTTTTTTGACAATAATTAATATAATAAATGTAGTAAAACTATTTTTGTATCAATATCTAATACCATTTTTAAATTTAAGGTCAAAATTTACTAATTATTACGGAAAAAACCAAATGTCGACGAATACTCAATGACAGAGTGAGTATATTTATTGGTTAAGTATTCACTGGCTCGAAAAAACATGGATGAATTATATAAACAAATTTTTATCCCGAGATTGTTGACAGGGAAAAACATTGGTCAAGAAATTGTTATTCCGTGATTGTTCTTACACCATCAGATGCAAGAATTCTTTTTAAATTTCAAAGGAAACAGTTCCCAATTATGATTTCTTATGCTATGACAATTAATAAAAGTCAAGGACAATCATTGACGCATGTTAGGCTTTTACTAAAGAAATCTGCATTAAGTCATGGCTAGCTTTATGTGACATTATCACGAGTCACTAATCGCAATGGATTAAAGATTTTGATTTGTGGTGAAGATCCTTTGACATCTAATAAAACTGCAAATGTAGTCTATAAGAAGTTTTCTAAAACTTATTATGTTATTTTATCACATTGTGCATTGTTGTAAAACTTCTCACCTTTAATATATATTACGTATTTTTGTTTAAAGCAAATTTTATCTTTTACTTCTATCAATGCTTCCCTTATTTATTTAACTTTAACTCAGACCGTGCAACGCACGGGTTTGAGTCTAGTATTTTGAAAGCACAGTGTGATAGTCGATTATCCTAACACGATGATCAATTATCAAAAGATTATTTTTCCAAAAATTTAAAATTCTATCCATTGGAGGGCAATGGTAACACTGATAATCGATTAATTATCGAGTCTTGATAATCGACGATCAGACCTTTCTGAAAATTCTGGGTTTGGCAGTGAAACCATGATAATCGATTATCAATAAGGTGATAATCGAATATCAGGCACTTCTGAACTTTGAGTTCAAAGCTGCCTAGGGCTGATAATCGATTATCATAAGTGATAATTGATTATCACTCAGCCAAGACCTAGCCAGCGAAAAACCAACTTGAAAACCAAGGTCGAAAAAACAAAGTGTTCCCAAAAGTGAAAACAAAGGTTGAAAAACATTGTGTATGGTATAAAATAGAGAAACCAAGACTTGTTTATCAAAAACTAAGTCTTCGAGGTCGTAAGTCACGTGTTGACCACTTGAGCGATTTTCACGTGCTTAGACCAATGACCATCATACACAAGTGGTTTTTATAAAATGATCGATTGGGAACCTTTTAAATATGCCAGAAGTAAAAACCAAGTATAAAATATTGAAAATCACTTGGTTGGTTCGGACACCGACGCGAAAACCAAACTCCGAATGCTAAGTGTCGAACGCTGAACGTACGTAGTGGTTTTGGTTTGGGCAAAGACCAAGGGTTCTGAAAACTTAAAAATACTTAGGAAAAAACATTTATTTGACCCATAAAAAAGTTTCATGACTTTATAAAAAATATTTTGACTCTTGAGAACCAAGACTTGATTAGATTGTCGGTTTTTTATCACAATAAAACCGACTCAACTAAGTCTTCAAATCTTGATCTTGTTCTTGATTCTCTTATAGTCTTGTGCCATGCCTCACTTCATGCCTTGAGTTATTCAGCGGAACTCTTCATATCCATGGCGGTTTGGTAATTATCAAAACCTATAAAAAAACAAACACGACTTTAGTTCAATGCAATGTAAAGTGTGTTCCAACAAAAGTTCTCACAGTGGAGGGGGACGAGGCCCCCACTGGTTCTCACCAAGGGTCACTGACCTCTGTGCGTACGTGTTTAACCCTCGAGACCATGAGGTGCGCAATGACACCTGCATGACCTTATTTCTAATCTCATTCCTATTGCTTATTTTCAATATACAATTCAACTCAAATCTGCCTAGATCTACTAGGTGGCCTATTTCACAATCACAATTTAGGGGTGTGTGTTCGGGTTGGGGCGGGTGGGGGGGTTTACCAGGGGGTTAGGGGGTACGAACCGTCAATTTTACAAACGGGACACCGGAGTGCCCCCGGGTCATCCCATGACATGAGGTTCGAATGTCATGGGAATCCCACCAATAAATTACATGGCATGTTCTGAATTCTCATTTATCATTTATGAAAAATTATTTATGACAATCTTTAAAATTTGACGAGTTTAAAACAATGTATTTTATATTAAAAAATCATGGACGGGTGAACTTATTGAAATTTATGTAAATGAAATAAAAATTATAAATTTTCAAAAATAAATAAATAAATGAATTATTCATAAAAAAGAAACTAATCATGATTAACTCCGTTTTTTCATAAAAATGACAATGGTATTAGAGGTCTTTTGAGTGAAATAATTTTTGTTTAAAATTATTAATCTATTTCTTTGTATGAAAATTTATTGAGCTTAAATATAACTCATCTTATATCACCTAATTAAAGATGAAAATTTATCACCTCTTAGAGAAATTATTTTTCCAAGAAAAATGATTTTCCCCACTTAAGCAACCTAAATGGAAAAGTAGAGTTGGAGCTTTATGAAAAAATAATTTTCTTTTAACAAAACAGAAGCTAAGAATTAGAATCCAAAAAACATAATCTTAAAAAACTGAAAATAAAATTTCTAATCGACAAAATTTTTGTTTGGACCCGTGTTTTAACATCTAACTACTAATTAAGCTAGTTTTGGGGTCATTACAGAAATCTTCCAAAGCAGCGGACCAAATCTTCTCTTGGAGGGTCTGCCACTGGTCTGTGTACCGGCTCAACGAGCAGCCGGTTACGATGAACTGCCTTCGTCCTAGCAAGATCCTATTGTTTTAGAGGACACGTTCAAAACTCTAGACCAAACATGGTTTCCGGCGAGCACTGAGTAGAGAGATTGAAAGAGATAAGTACGAAACCCTAAACAAAAGCAGTGGCTTAGTTTCTCCTGTACGCTCTCCCTAATTGTGAATCGTATCCAGCACCCTTTTCCTTTTTTTATTGTAGCTTTGAGCAGGAAAAATCAATGTTCATTTTTTCCTTTTATCTTTGTATATAGTTAGAAATAAGATTTGAAAGGGTTAGAAGAAACTAGAAAGAGTTGAAAAAAAGTTGAAGAAGTTGGATAAGACTAGAAAACGTTAGAAAAAACTATAAGAAATTAGAAAACATGGAAAGTTAAGTTATTCAATCCAGAAGAACATGTTTTATATGAGAAATGTTAGAGTCACAAACAAAAGTGACACAAACTTCACAAACTTGTCGTTTGTTAATTTAAATTTTTTTTCTTTTTAATTATTTAAGATCACTTTATTTTATTAATAAAGTTCATATATCATACACACATAAAAGATATAGAGTACATTAAATGTTTAGCTCATTATTGGTACTTGATAATCAAACCTCTTCCAAACAGCCGGAGCTTAATTTAATTGTCCCTCCTAGCCTTATTACATTTGGATTGTCTAGTTTGTTCCATAAATAAATACAAATACAGTAAATCAAAATAAATATTACGAAAATTATATATAAATGTTAAATATAAATATATAATAATAATCTTGATCAAATGCGGGAAAAATTAAACGCCATGTGGTGCTTGTAAACCTTGCCCTTCTCCACAAGGGCCTGAGGGAATGTTGGATTGTTAACAAAGTTAGGGAACCACTGAGTCATCAAGCAAAAACCAGCATGAGTTTTGTACGTAAATCCTCCCTTCCCCTTAACATCTTTGATCAAATTCCCGGTGTAGAATTGCAAGCCCGGAGCATCCGTGGAAAGCTCAAGCCTCAACCCCGACTTCTCGTTCTCTACAATAGCCGCGGGCCTCACCTTCCCCGCGGGGTCAAAATCATCGAGCTGGTAGTTAATGTCATACCCAGCCGGTGTAGGGAGGAGGTGGATCCTTTTCCCTATACCGTTGAGCTGTGGCTCAGTGAAGTCGTACGCGGTTCCCCTCGCGTACATAAGTTGCCCCGTGGGGATGGAGTTCTCGTCCACCGGGGTGATGAATTGCCCCATGATTCTGAGCTTCTCTTCCAGAATGTCGCTGCTGTTGTGGCCACCCAGGTTCCAGTATGTGTGTTGCCCCAAACTCACCGGAGATACCTTGTCGTCCAAGCTCTTTGCTTTCATGAACACGGTTAGTTGCCCCTCGGCGACAAGCGTGTAGGTCACTACCACCTTAAGTGCACCAGGGAATCCTGATCCATAAAATTGTATGGTTCAACTATCAAAATATACAAACAAAATATTTTAAGAATAAATTATGGGCAAAGTTCTCATGAGATTGAACTTCAATGTCATGGGATAACATTGACTCTAATTGAGGTATTTACGGTGCCCGATTCGCAAAATTGATGGTTTCTACTCCACTTATCATCCCGTTAATCCCCGCACTATGTCCCGATCTGAACCCAACTTCCCATTCCTTTCAATTGCACCCATAAAGTTAACTAAATTTGGAGGCTGCAGCTCAAAGATGTGGAAAAGTGGCCGGGTTGGAATAGTGTAGGGGGTTCGCTGGGAGTTATGTGGGTAGAAATCACTAATTTTCCGAATGGAATAACGTAAGTGCTTCAATTGGAGCCAATATAATCCCATGACATTGAAAACGAATAATGTCACGGGAACGGGGGGTGATAAATTATCGATGTTGAGAAGAACCTTCTTCGCCATCGTTGCTGCGGTGGGTGAAGACAATGAAGGGAGCATTTCCGCTGTTCTCGTACTTGGTGACCTTCCAAACAACATGGCTGTATCCCTTAGGGCCGCCGTGAAGGGTGTTTTTGCCGTCGTTGGTGGCTAGTTTGTACACTTTCCCGTTCAGCTTGAATTCACCATTGGCAATTCTGTTGGACACACGTCCCACTACACTTCCGAAGTAGTTTTTGTCGGCCTGTGCGTGTTTTGAAATTAATTAGTACCCTCCGTCCATAAATAAAGTTCCATTTTTGACTTTTTGAGGATTTAAGGAAGGGTTATTTTGGTGTTGATTTTCCAAATATACCCTTGATGTGATGTGTTAAAGTAAGATGTGATAGGTAGATTATTAGTAAAAAGGTATGATGTGATAGGTAGGGTATGAAAAAGTAAGGGGTAAAAGGGATTTTTTAAGGGAAAAGAGAAGTTTATTTAGGGACAAAGAAAAAACGAAAGAAGAACTTTATTTAGAGACGGATGGAGTAATATGTTTGTTTCTTTTGAATAGTTTTTGTGCTCCGTTTCATAGAAACACATTTATTTAAACAACGGCAAAATTGTAACACTCACTTGGTACTCCTTGACGGTATCATAACCGAGAACAATATCAATTGGCTTTCCTGTTGATAAAATATTAACGTACAATGTCGTTAAATGATACCATACGTGTATGTCTCAATATAATAAGAAAGAGGAACAAATAAAACTTTTAATTTATCTTCTAAATTGTTTTTATCTGTCTCAAAAAATCCTTTGAAGTTTGATTTTTTTAATCAAATTTTAGAAACTTTGACCATAAAGTGAGAAGCAATGCTAGGTTCAGAAACATAGTCACAAAATTCACAAACTTACCATTTATTGTTTAAATTCTTATTTTAAAATTATTTTAGACTATTTTATTTTATTATTGAAATTCACAAATAGTAAATTTGTGTGATCTGTGACCATTTTGTTTGTGAACCAAACATTTCCCTAAAGTGCATGTGGAAAATATACATTTGATTATAATATAAATTTAATATAATTATGTTCATTTTAAGATATATAATTCTGATAAATCAAATTTTTATAAAATTTATTTATTCAAAATTAAACTTATTAATGGTGACCAAAAATATCATGCTACAAAACTTTTTTGAGACGGAGAAGGTAATGAAGGTTTTGTTTGGGATCAACGTTATTGATTAACTTAGCATTTTGATACAAATTTAATGCTATAAATTAATTTCAAAAATGTGAACACTAAATCCTATATATTTCTTGTAAAACAACCCTATTAAAAACTAACGCTAAACTAGTCTGATGTTCGATATATACAAAAATATACACACACAGACAAGAAATCTATATACCAGATTTATCAGGAACCTCAAGAGAGACAATAGTTGCACCCAAATTAGTGAGCTTCACCGAAATATTTCCTTTCTTAAGCTCATAAAATTCAATCTTATCTTCGGCGCCTACTTTAGCTGCATTGGGTAATCCCAATGCAACCAAGATGCAAATGCAAAACCAAAAAGATAACTTTCCCATTTTTGTATGTAGTAAATAAAATATATTACAATTGATTGAGATGACTATGTCTTGAGGTTATATATACCACCGTGGGATGCGATATTTGAGTAATTGTTGACACATAGTAGAGAAATTTGAGGTGTTGAAGGGTAGAGGTTGTATTTAAGGTTAATGGCTCAAAGTTAAGGAAAAAAGTAATGATCTTACATTTAAATGTCCATTTGTAAGGTATGAGCTTTTTCACATTTTTTTTATATAAATAAAAAATTGTGGATCTCTAATTATTCAAAGTCCAACGTAAATATGTTTGTAGTTTTCTTTCTTTATCATTCTTTTTTAATGAGTGTGTGAGAGCATGTTCTTTGAGGTATCAAAAAAAGAGTTGGGATAAAAAAATTGAAAAAAACTAGAAAGAATTGGAAAAAGTTGAAATGAACGAAAAAATGGAAGGAATAGAAAAAGCTAGATCAAATAAATAAAGTAATAATGTTTTATTAATTCTTTGTTAATAATTAGTTATATTCTCTGTTATCTGAATTTGTTTTTTACACTTTTTTTTGTCTCTTTTTTCTTTTTCATAATGTAGTTGCATAATTATTTTTATTTAATTTAAAATAGACCTAATTTAAAATAGACCAATTCCCTAATAATACTTTTTTATAATGTACAATACTTTTTTATAATAATTAGTTATCCCTTTTTTCCATTCACTTTTCTTTTCTAACCAAATAAGATAAACTATTTTCGGTCTTAATTTCTTTTCTTTTCCCTTTCAAATTCTTTGAACCAAACATAGTATAAATCTCAAACAAGCCAAATAATTTTACTTTTCTAAGACTATGTGAAAAAGCAAAAAAGAAAGATTTATTAGAGACAAAGGGTGTAAATTTATTCTATTCTGTTACCCGATAATTTACCCACCTAATCCATTTTGTTCTTTTTTTCAGTTCTTTACCCCATTTACACCCAAATTCTACAATAATTGCATGTTATCCTCAGCTCCAGAATTCTATCCAGAATTCTAAAAATTGCATTAATGGTCCCTGAACTTTTAAAATGTGTATCCATGGTCCCTTGGCGCTAGATTTTGAAGGGCATTAATCACACATTCATTAATAGACCTGTTGGAGCTTGACAAAAATGTCATGGATTGATGAAAAAAGTTTTTACGATTGATGTAAAACTTGATTGACTGTTGCCCGAGCTTCGAATTCAATGACCGACGACTAAATCATGAATGTTCATCTCGATTTTAAAGAGATTTAAAATATAGAAGTAATTGTTTGAAAAACATATTGCGGAATTCACGTGTGATGTATGAGTATAGATAAATTCATATTTGTAGTGGACAAGAACGTACGTGTGATTAACGTACTCCCAAATTTGACACAAGAATCATTGATGCAACATTTTCAGAAGTTCGTGAACGATTGGTACAAATTTTGAAGTAAGGAATCAATGCAATTTTGAAGAGTACGGTTCAAGAGTAAATGAGGCAAAAATCTTTTGTTTACACTATGTACCTTTTTACATTTTGCTTGAAGTAAATTCCCTAACAATTCCTAAAAAAGAGTAGCCTAACAAGGGCAAAGTAAGAAAATCAAATGACTTTTTAAATCTACATTTAACCTATTGTCAAGGCAAAATAGAAAGAAATATGGAGAGAGGGAGTATTATATTACCCATTGTTTTAATTATTCTTAAGGTTTCGGAGGTATATATTTAGCAATATGCGATTGTTGGAGGAAAAACAAAGAAAACGGAATGTAGTAAAAGTACTGCATATATATATATATATATATATATATATATATATATATATGCATGGTTCTTAGTGCTCTAAGTACAAAACCAAAGAAAGTCGGAGTCCAAAGGGCATAATGATAATTGGAAAAAGGATTGCATGCTTTAATTTATTAATGACCTAGTAAAAAAACACTGAAGTTTAATAACAAAGGATTTGATTCTAAGCTTTGTGATTCTGCAAGAAGGAGCCTAACCCATCAGTAAGAGCGGATGATGGTGATGCAAGAGCCGCCTTTAGTAAGCTCGCAAAGTTATACTTTGTAAGAAAAAAATCAGACATATATATATATATATATATATATATATATATATATATATATATATATATATATATATATATATATATATATATATATATATATATATATATATATGCTCGATTGTAAAATTATTAATGTAATAATAAATGAAAATATGCAAATAGTTACCTCTTTCATACCAACACTGACCAATTGCTCTTCGATCTCACTGAAACCCACATTCACTTCTGTTAGCATATATATTTATTTACTACCATATATGTAATTAGTTTCCTTTGTAATTAGTTTCCTTGTTAGTAGTCCTTTCCATACTTGGAGTAGGACTTGGCACATGTATATATACGTTGTGAATATTGAATGAAAGGCAGATCAGTTTTTCCAAAATTCTACATGGTATCAGAGCCAATTTCCCGGGACCTTCTCAAATCCTAGGTTTTTTTTCTCACGCACGGTGCCGCCACCGTTGCTTCGCCGGCCGCCACACCACGGTCGCCCCTCTTCGATCGGCTCACGTCGATCACCACCGCTGCAGCGCCGGCTCACGTCGGACTCATAATCACCGTCTCACGCCGGTACTATCTTCGTTTCCATGGCAAGCGAAGGAACAAAGCAGGTCAGGCTCACCCACGACCCTACCTCTCAGTACTACATCCACCCGTCCGAAAGTGCGGGTAATTCCTTGACGAAGCATCTTCTCAAAGGTGATAATTATGATATTTGGGAGAAAACAATTATTAATGCTCTAGAAGGGCGTAGTAGAGCAGGTTTTCTCAATCCTTCCGGGTTTCCTAAACCCACTGATGAACAGGAATTGGCGGCATGGAAAGCTAATAATTCCATAATTTGTTCTTGGATCTGTAACAGTGTTGATGAACACATCCAACCTTCCATTATCTCCCATAAAATTGCTCATGAATTATGGTTAGATCTGAAGACCAGATATGGAGGTTCCAATGGACCTCGTATTCACCAATTGAAATCTGAGTTTCAATCTTT